AACTTCTACTGCTTATCGTAGTTTCTTTGATCAAGATGTGTTGCCTTTACCTGTTCCTGATTCTTCTTTTCCTGCTTACTTTGATTTAGGTAATGATATCTCTGATCCTAGTTTCTTTCATGACACGTCTAACACTGGTTCTGTTATTTCTCCATCTCCTATTCCTCCTAACTCCTCTTCTTTGTCTAGTTCTCCTATTCCTTCTGCACCTGAACCTAGGTTAAAAAGACAAACTAGAGCTCCTGCTTATCTTGATCAATACCATTGTTTTCTTTTAAAACAAATTACTACTTTCCCGGCTCATCCTACACATACTACTCCTTATCGAATTTCATCTTTTCTTTCATATGATAAGTTTGATGATGAACATAGGAATTTCCTTCTTTCCATTACTACAACCCGCTTACCCAAAACCTATAAAGAGGCTGTTCTATCTGAGGATTTTAAGAACTCTATGAAATCTGAAATGAATTCGTTGGAAGGAAGTGGTACTTGGTCTATATGTCAACTACCACCAGGGAAACAAGCTGTTGGTTGTAAATGGGTTAATACCATTAAGTATAACCCTGATGGAACCATTGAGCGACATAAATCTCGTGTTGTGGCAAAAGGCTATACTCAATTAGAGGGGCTGGATTATCTGGATACCTTCTCTCCAGTGGCAAAGATTGGAACATTTCGTCTTCTCTTAGCACTTGCAGCAGCTAAGAAGTGGTCTATAACGCAGTTGGATGTGAGTAATGCTTTTTTTGAATGGAGATCTTGATGAAGAGATTTATATGCGCTTACCAGATGGTTATGAGGAATTGACTGGGAAGAAAGTACCTCCTCACTCGGTGTGCAAACTTCATAAATCTTTGTATGGATTAAAGCAAGCTTCACGGCAGTGGAATCATAAACTCTCCGAGGTGATTCTCAATGATGGTTTTACTCAAACTCATTCTGATCATTCTCTGTTCGTCAAGTATGCAGACAAGAAGTTCTTGGCAGTTCTTGTGTACGTTGATGATATTCTGATAGTGGGGAATGATGATACTGCTGTTTCTGCTTTTAAGCTGGTCCTCCAGACAGCTTTCAAGTTGCGAGACCTTGGGTCTGCAAAATATTTCTTGGGCTTTGAAATAGCTCGGAATGATACTGGAATTTCCATTAACCAACGGAAGTATACACTGGAGTTGCTTGAAGATTCTGGTCTTCTTGGCTGTAAACCTTTATCTGTTCCTATGGAACCGAATCTCAAGCTGTCTCTTACTACTGGAACTGCTTTATCAGATGCGGCTATCTACAGGAAATTGGTCGGACGATTGTTATATCTCACTCATACTCGCCCTGATATAACATATGCAGTTCACAAGCTCAGCCAATTCATGTCTGCGCCTACTGATGCTCATTTGCAGGCTGCCTATAGAGTTCTTCGTTACTTGAAGAATGATCCAGGTCAAGGCCTCTTTTATTCTGCTACATCTCAGGTTAAACTCACAGCTTACTCTGATGCAGATTGGGCTGCTTGTCCGGACTCTCGCCAATCTATCCCAGGCTACTGTGTTTTCCTTGGTGATTCTTTGATTTCCTGGCGTTCTAAGAAGCAGCAGACTGTCTCACGAAGTAGCTCAGAGGCTGAATACAGAGCTATGGCAGATACCACATGCGAGCTTATTTGGTTGTCGACAATACTGGGTGAGCTGTATTGTCCTCCATTGTCTCCTGCACTTCTATTCTGTGACAATCAATCTGCTTTGTACATAGCTTCTAATCCGGTTTATCATGAGCGTACAAAGCATATTGAGATTGACTGTCATGTGGTTCGTGAGCGTTTGAAGAGTGGTTTCTTGAAGACTCTACATGTCAAGTCAGCTTTGCAGCTTGCGGACGTTCTGACCAAGGCAGTACAACCGGGTTTATTTAAGAGTTTAGTTGACAAGATGAGAATACACAGTCTGTGTCTTCCATCTTGAGGGGAGGGTATTGGAATTATAATGTTATACCGGTTTAGTTGGTTTAGTAGAGATTGAACCGGTAGTATAAATACTTGTAACAAACACTTTACAGTTAATTTGAGCTTTACATTTTCATAACTAACTTTCCCTTTCTCCGAACTCAAATCCTCTAATAGATGAAAGGCTTAGCGACAACAACGACTGATCCGTATCTAAAGGAGACATATAAGATTTGTGTGATAGATTATGAATTAGCCATTACAGCAATTGAGGGAGCTCAAGCGTTTGCGAGGTCTAAATCGTACGATCTAGTACCTCAGGCAGTTTCTAAAGCGTTGGATATTGTATCTTCGTGCCAGGCTGACGTTAAAGACNGATGAAAGGCTTAGCGACAACAACGACTGATCCGTATCTAAAGGAGACATATAAGATTTGTGTGATAGATTATGAATTAGCCATTACAGCAATTGAGGGAGCTCAAGCGTTTGCGAGGTCTAAATCGTACGATCTAGTACCTCAGGCAGTTTCTAAAGCGTTGGATATTGTATCTTCGTGCCAGGCTGACGTTAAAGACCTGAAAACGGTGCCGGGTTATGTTACGTTACGCAATTCGTGGTTTGAGAAAATGTGTAACATTGGTACCGTTTTTTCCAACGTTTTGACGTCTTGATTCTTTTATTTTTCATTCATCTGCTGTGATGGTAACGAGAAAAACTACTAAGATGTCATTTATTGGTGTAGCAACTTCAATAAATTAATTAAAATAAATTCATAGTCAATATGATCTTGTTTCCATTGATGATAAGATCGATATTTACCATAAGAAATAAGATATTTACCATCGTCCCAAACATGCTTTTAATTCTCTTTTCTCGGTCTTCTATCAAGCAACCCTTTTGACTTCAAAACCTGCTTCTGCGCTTATGGTGGCGTACATGAATTTAGTCTCAAGTTGCTCTTTGCTGCATCATTGACAAAAAGATGTTTAATTTGCTTTCTCCAACTATAGCATCAAGGTGATGGATGTTTAAAGAACTTCTTGTGGTTTTCGGTTGAGAAGCTTTTCATAACTTTTCAGAACACATCAATCACATAATATCCATGTCAAGAACACAACAATGTAATCATATTAATTATTACATGACAATGTTCCCAGCACATAATGGCATTTTGGCTGATAGCGAAGAACAACATACTGCGTTGATGCCTCCAGCATAATTAGTGAACCATGTTAAGATATTACCCATTCTTAGTATAAAGTTAGAACATCTTGCCCCATCCTTCTTCTCCACTTCTCTCCCATTTATATACACATTTGATGTATATGTATGTATATATGTCAGTATGTGTGTATGTATATCTGCATTAGTGGTACAATGATCATCATGACTCCACGAATAAACTCATTACTGATTGCTGGATCATGGATGCTGTTCTTTGTCAACACCAATTATTGAACCGATTAGGAACATCGATTCAAATCAAAAGCGAGAAGACAAATAGTTGCTTGTAGTTAAGATGTTGTGTATATGTATATTAGGGTCTGGTGAAGATAAATCATTAGGTACACAAATATATTTTTCTCATCCTTTACTTTAATATTAGCTTTTTAAATTGTTTTTTTTTTTAAATTTAGTTTAACAATTATTTTTACCAATTTTATATTTAATACTTTCATTAAAATAAGCAATAAAAAGTATTTAATATAACAAAAACCTGTTTATCTTATTAATTGACTTTTGTTATTTAAAAATAAGTAAATTTATTTATATGTTCCACATTATATTATTTCTTGGTCCGCTCCGGTTGCAGACACGATCATTTCGTGGTAGAACGCACCACCACCATAACGTCATATATATAAATACTATAAGAATAAAATTAACTAAGTTTTCTTTTCGTTAAAGTTCCTCTAATTGTTCTGCATAATAATACAATTCTTTCTTGGATTAAAGTTGTCTTTAAAATCTTTTTAAAAACTATCTATAAAAGTCGCATTAAAATTAATACAGATAAAGACGAAATTTTAATANATTTTAATATCTATTTAAACATGTCTCCATCGTCCCGGTGTCCAACTGCCATAATAACTACACGGCCGCTGACAAACTAGAAAACAATTAAATATAGATGAAGATGAATTTTAATGTCTATTCAATATCATCAGATCACTAATCGTTTGTAGATTTTTGATTTCAATATACGAATTCAGATTTCATAACATTTAAAATAAATCAAAAGAAGCTGATTATAGTTAGTAACAGAAAGAAAAAAAAAATGATAGTTAGGATAAGAAAAGAGTAGATAATAAAATACTTGATAAAGAGACGTATTCTTTTCTTTTTGGTCAACCAGATAAAAATAACTGTATTAGCGGAACGATAACAAAAACAAAATTAGTAAAAAGAAGAAGGCAGTAACTTTTTTGTATGAATTATATATTGACCGAAGTCTTGGAGGAACTTCGATTCAAATTAATGCGAGAAGACGAGTAGCAAGCAGTTGGTTGTAGTTAAGATGTCGTGTATCTGTATATTAGGGTCTGTTTAGGATAAATCATTAGGTTATATACAAAATTTATTTTATAATAAGTGCTGTTTTGCGTACATATATATTGAAAATATATAATAATTTATATCATAGTTATAAGGGAAAACAAGTTAACAGTTGATATTTTCATTAGATTTAAATCCAAATAGATATTTAACACCAAAAGTTACATTTTAAAATATAACACGGCATTTAGTTTAAAACAAAATTAGATTTTTAAGTAACAGTTAATTCTAATATATCGTGCACTTAAATGTTGCAGTTAAGTATTCAGATTGAAAAACTTTAAGAAAAAGAAAGTAACAAACTTTAAGAAAAAGAAAGAAAAAAAGCTAAACTGGTAGATTGAAAAAATGAAAGAAAACTTAAAGGAATGGTAGTTAGATTGAAGGAAGAGTAATTAGAATAGTCAAACAAAAGAATAGTAGTTAGATTAACAGAACGGTAGATAGAGTGTCTTTTGGTGCTTATAAAAGTGAACCCAAAACATTCAGTTTCCTTTTACCAAAAAAAAAAAAACATTCAGTTTCTCCGTGAAAGATTAGTTTCTTCTCTAAAGGATTACAATGGCAATCAATCTGCAGGATCTCAAGTTCACTCATCAGTTTCAAGGTTTATCTATGTTGTAGATTCTGATTAAAGGATGATTGTTTACAGATTTTGCTGTAGTTTTTAGTTTTTGTTTTTGAAAAAACTACTTTTTAGCCAATCAAGTTTTTGGATAAATAGATTTCCTATAATCTAGGGAAACTGTTTTTTGAAACAAACTGTTATTTCTAAAGAAAAACCAAAAACCACTTTTTTCAAGTTTCTACAACAACATCACGTTAGTTTTTCATCTTATAACCTTTTTTTTTTAAGTTGACAAAAATGGTTTTTTTTCATTTATGCATTAAACATAGGAAAAATAAATGTGGTGATGTTGTTAACGAAAGTTCTCGTGTATGTAAACAAAAAAGTTCAAAACATATTTGTTTCATTTATACACTAAGGTAGGAAAAAATAAAGAAAAATGCTAACTACTATAAACAAATAAGTTTTAGTAAAAATATATTTTTAACATGTATAATACAAAAATGATTTATATTATGAACATTTTAGATTTGTCATGAAAATCAAATTAATTATTTAAGTTACTTGTATGTAAATTAATTTGCATGTTTTGTTAATAATCTGTTGGTATTATTTTATTTTAAAATTGTGATATATTCTTTTAGTTATTATATGTGTGCTTAAAAATACATAAATTAAGTTATAAGTTAAATATTTTAATATAATATAAAACTAAAATAAATCAGTAATCAAATTTTAGGAAAACAAATACTCTAAAGAAAAAAAAAATTCAAAAATCTATTTTTGGTTTAATTAAATTTGGGTTTTTTATTTATTTTTATTTCAACTTCAAATAAGTAATTAAAAATTAAAAATCATCATTCAAAAATTTTCTGAAAACTAAAATGACAGTAAAATCAAAATTAAAAAAAAATAATGCTTCAAAATTAAAATAAAATATTTATTAAATGTAAAAGCTAAAATCAAAAACTAAAAACAAAAATCTGTCATTCGTGTTTTTCAAAAACTAAAATCTACTGCAAAATCAAAAACCAAAAACTAAGGTGATGATTGTTTGAATGGTTTTTAGATTTTAGTTTTTGGTTTTTAGCTTTTAGTTTTTGGTTTTTAGTTTTTGGTTTTTAGTTTTTGGTTTTTGATTCTGCAGTAGATTTTAGTTTTTGAAAAAACACGAATGGTAGTTTTGGTTTTTAGTTTTTGGTTTTTGTTTTTAATATTAATAAAATCTTTCTTTTATATTTTTCTGTAGTTTTTCTGTAATTTTAGTTTTTAAATTGAATGAAGATTTGTTAGTTTTAGATTTTAATATATTTTATTAATAATTTTTTGAAGTTGAAATACAATACTATTTACTATGAAAAATATATTTTCTTTCTTTCATAAAAAAATCAATTATTCTTTTTTCACACATATTAAAAAATATTTTAAAAACTATGTTTCACCCTATGTTCACATATTAAATATTTTTTTTCTATAACTAATAAATTAATGAAATGATGTATTAAATGAATAATTATTTGAATTCTTCATTGAGAACACAAAATGACAATTTTTTGAAACAAAATTAAAACTTTGAAAACGATACTTTTTAAAAATATATAGAATATTACCACTTAAAAATGCATTTATTTATTTAGTAAAATTAATTTAAAAGTGAAAATAGTGCAAAATCAAAAGATGAACCACAATTTACATACAAAAAATATCAATAGTTAAATTTTTACATTATATATGACAATACAAAATTAATGCAGTTCAAAAATGACATTACATAAGTTAAATTTAACAAAATAAAAAATAGTTAGATTTTTATTACATTATATAATTCAAATATTATAAACAAAAAATACAGTAGTTAGATTTTTACATTACTATTCAATTCCACACATATTAAACAATTTTCAATTGGCAGTTAGTTTATTATTTAAACATACTATATAAAATTTCATTATATTTTTATAAGTTTAGAAACTTCATAAAATTACAAATATATCTTTAGTTCTGAATTAAAAAAAAAAGGTATTTACATTTTTTTTCTTTTTCTGAAATTTAATTAATGAGTTTTGGTCAAATTTTTTTTTAAACAAAATTAACTTAGAATTTAAGTTCTTGTTATTAAAACAATATAAAATTTACTACAAGAATGAATCACGAATTTTGATAAACAATACCCATAGCAAGCAAATGGTTCTTACTAAACCTTATTTATTTATAGTATTTATTAGTTTTGTTACATTTTATATATTAAAACATAAATATAACAAATAAAAATTAAAAAATAAGATCCCACGTAACTTTTTATAAGAAACCATAAAAACTTGGTTTTTGGTTTTTATGTTTAAAAACAGTTATTTACAAAAAAACTAGTTTCCCTATATTTTAGGAAATCTATTTTTTCAAAATCATGATTGGATGTAAATCTATTTTATTTTAAAATTGTGATATATTCTTTTAGTTATTATATGTGTGCTTAAAAATACATAAATTAAGTTATAAGTTAAATATTTTAATATAATATAAAACTAAAATAAATCAGTAATCAAATTTTAGGAAAACAAATACTCTAAAGAAAAAAAAAATTCAAAAATCTATTTTTGGTTTAACTAAATTTGGGTTTTTTATTTATTTTTATTTCAACTTCAAATAAGTAATTAAAAATTAAAAATCATCATTCAAAAATTTTCTGAAAACTAAAATGACAGTAAAATCAAAATTAAAAAAAAAAATAATGCTTCAAAATTAAAATAAAATATTTATTAAATGTAAAAGCTAAAATCAAAAACTAAAAACAAGAATCTGTCATTCGTGTTTTTCAAAAACTAAAATCTACTGCAAAATCAAAAACCAAAAACTAAAAACCAAAAGCCAAAAACTAAAAACCAAAAGCCAAAAACTAAAAACTAAAATCTAAAAACCATCCAAACAATCATCACCTAGATTCGTGAAGCTGTTAGGTTAAAATTGTTTTTATTTCGATCTCTCACTTCAAGTGTGGATTTGCAGATTTGGCTTCGCTGCTTCAAGAGTCTCGGACCAGATGGCTCACGGACGTCGAGCTGGAGATTCTTTACCAGCAGAATAAGCGTGATCCTTCTAGTCTTCCCATCTCTGAAGCAGATCCTCCATTGAGAACGGAAGGAATATATATTATCCAAACACGAGCTTTCAAGGACAAAAATGTGTGGGATCCTGTTAATGGTCCAAGAAACACACAGTCTACACATATCGTAAGCCGTTTCCTATTGTATTTGATTATTCTTATTTTTATGACAAAGGGCTATTGTATTTGATTATTTCATTCTAACTTATATTCTAATACTTTAGATTTTTTGTTTTTGCAGTTTCACAATCTCCCAGGCTATACAACTACAGTGGCTTCAAAAGAATACACGAATGTATCTTTTGTTCGAAGAAACCAGAGATGCTCAGGATCGTGAGTTCTCATTTCAATTTTGTTTATGCATTTGTTTTATACTTATTTAACTTGTTTTCTTTTCAGGTATAAGGATCTTGCTATTGTCCACTATCGATGGGTGNGCAGTTTCACAATCTCCCAGGCTATACAACTACAGTGGCTTCAAAAGAATACACGAATGTATCTTTTGTTCGAAGAAACCAGAGATGCTCAGGATCGTGAGTTCTCATTTCAATTTTGTTTATGCATTTGTTTTATACTTATTTAACTTGTTTTCTTTTCAGGTATAAGGATCTTGCTATTGTCCACTATCGATGGGTGGAGAAAGTCAATGATGAAAAAGAAGTTGACAATGAAGAGCCAAAGGTAAAAACTTGTTATTACGGTTTTATGCTAAATTTAAGTTAATGAACTTCTTTGTTTTGATTAGAGCGAATCCAAATTGCTGGAGGGGCCCGCGAAACAGGGAGCAAGATTGGCTCAAGAATGGCGAGAAGAGGAGGCAAGAAGGACACTACACTTGTCAAATCTTTGCTTTAACGTGTCAGAAAATGATATGTAAGCTTAGTTATTTCAATTATATTGTTTGTTTCTGATTCTTTGCTAATGTATATTTTTTAATGCAGAGCAAAGTTCTTTGATGGAGTTGGTCACATACGTGACATTCGGATGACTATGCGCAAAGATGGAATATTCAAAAGTTATGCCTTTGTTGAATTTGACTCGGCTGAATCAGCTCAGGATGCAATGAAGCTGCACCATAAGCCGATGCTGAATCGTCCAGTTCATCTTGCCCGTGCCTATCCGAGAGGTCCTAGCGCTGGTGTTCATTACTGACAATCCGTGTGGACGTGGGGTGAAGCATATACTAACTTTTACTAACTTGGTTTAAGATATAATAAGTTGCATAATATTTGAGATTTTGTATTGAAAACTGTGTGTTGTCCAAAAATATATATACATATTGAAAAATGTGTGTTATTGTGTTTACTCCAGTAAAGTTTATTATCTATTTGTTTTACTATAACATTTGTGATAAATACATAATATCTTTTGCACCAACCAAAACACAAACTTCTGATGTTCATTTCAACTTACATCATCAATGCTGCTTGCTTCCAAGATGCACTATTGTTGATAAGGGGAAAATTTGTGTTAAGAGATTGCAACTTCTTTAGAGCATTCAACTCCATAGATTCACCAATATGCTAAGTCCGAAGAACTAAATCAATTTAAGAAAGAAGACAACATAATCAGCCAACAATTTCATCTTAGGTCCATTGAAGGGAATCCCACAATAAACACTAAAAGCAAAGCACAATGAAAGGGATTTGCTCGGACAAGTTTGATTCAAACAGAAACGTTCTTGTTTCGATTTTGATACCAAACACAAACAGTCCTCGCTTTGTCTCTCATTGGGAGATTAACACGTGTGGATTAAACTCAGGCCTAAAGTACCCCCTATATATTAGAAACCAAATGAGAGAGCAAGCGGTAAGTTTAGTTTTGAGAAGGTTTGAGCTTTCACAAAGGATAATATTGGAAGCAAATCAGAGCAAGCGGTAAGACTGAAATTGGTTTTGGTATTTATGGCCATTGAGAGATGAAACATAATGAAGCCCAAAGTTTTTTTAAAGAGCCAATTTGTAAATGTGTGCGTGTGACTACAGTATCATATATATACTAATACTTTCAATATATATTTTGTTTATAATATGTTCATATATTTTCTGGTTGAAACTATTGTAGGTTAATATCCACGAAGCGTGGTCATTATTATTCTATCTACTAACTTAGATACTGTATATACAAATACATTAAAGGGAGTACAAAATTAAATTGTCATTTTTACATCATAAACCATTTTTCCAACCCAAACTTACTAACAAATAACAAAATAGTGTAATAATATTTTTGTATATTTGTAATATTTCAAAAACTAACATTTTATTTATAGAAAAGATTTAGAAAACAGTGAATGAAGGTCATCATCATCTATATATATGTTAAATCCTTCTAATATTTATTTATAATAATTAAATATAATATAAATATTTTAAAATGAAAAAATCATTTTTAATAAATTAAATATATAAAATAAATTAAAATGAACATGAAAGGCTATTTGTCTTCTTTAATAACGTAAATATATAAAAATAATGAATATGAAAAGCTATTTGTCATTTTTATTTCATAATACAATAATTTTTCAACACAATTTAGTCAAATTTCATATACAAATAGAGATACTTACATTTTTCATATTTTAAAGTTAAAAATTTTCTTAGAAGGAGAGGGTAGGTTAGAAAATATTGTTTAATCCAAATTTATAGTAAGTATTTTTATTTTTTTGTCATCAGTAAGTATTGTTATGTTTATTAATAACAAATCTAAATCTAATAATAAAATAAGACTTTATGTTTATTAATAATAAATCTTAAAGCTATTTCTACGTTGTGTTTTACCGTTCGTGGAAGCTAACATTATGTTTTTTGCCTATGGTGGAAAGGTTTACTCTCTAATTTAGTTACGGAAAAAGACCATTATTGAACAACATATGTTATAGAGAGAATTAGTCAAATACCCAAAATTGAGGTCAATATTAGAGGATTACACATGAGTTGACATAACTCTAAAGTTTTGTACAATTTGGTTTGGTTTGGACACTGAAACCCTTCTTACAATTGGCTGACACTCTCTCTCCTTCTATTTTGCAGCCACACTCTTTCTCTTTCTATTTCTTTCTTTATTTTTTATTATATTTTCTTTACTTTCACATTTTTTTCCAGATATTTTAACATAAGAAACAAAGTATTGATTTGTTTTATTACACCACAGATTAAAAAAATCATCACTGCAATATCTTTAAAATCACCGATTGTTAACAAATATGTTATCTGTAACAAATAATGTAAATGTTAATAGATGTGTTAGCTGTTAACAAATACATGTACCAGAGGTGTTAGCTGTTAATAAATTTGTTAACAGTTAATGTCTCTGTTAACACATCTGATACATGTATTTGTTGACAGCTAACAAATTTGTTAACGTCTACAAAAATTGTTAACAGTTAATGTCTCTGTTAACAAATAGATAATGTATAATTTTTGATGTTCATATCACTGTGAGTAAATATAAAAAATCAGAGTTATTTTTCAAAACCACATAGGAAATAAATAAATATATATATAAATAAATAAATATATATATATTTTTTTTTTTTGAATAAGTGAAAAAATATTTAGAAAAAAGAATGACAAAGAAAAAAATGATAGGAGAATTTGAGAATGGAGAATAAGTGAATCGAATGAAAGAGAGAGAGTGTCAGAAAATAGAGTGGCTGGAGAGAGAGAGTGGTGAGAGTAAAATCAGAGAAAGACAAAGGGCTTTTTGGTCATTAAAATTAATTCCATCACATCATGTGTATTTCCCTAATTAAGGGTCAAAAAAGGATATGTGAGCAAATAATCTCTATGTTATATTTATTAGATAACTAGGGTAAACCCGCCCTACGGGCGGGGAAATAAATATAAAACTTTTTGATGTTTGATTTATTTTAATTAAAAGTAGCATTACCATTTATAATTATTTTACTACAATTTTAACCATTTATTTTACTACACACCCTTTAAAATATAATTATTTACTATTTAAATATTTATTTTAGTTTAACTATAACAATAAATCATTATATCTTCTTAAAGTTACAGAGACTGGAGTTATTAGTAGAGTATAATTATTTTTGTTCTCAGTTATATATTGTTTAATAAATTAAATTATTTTTATACATTTTTGTTAAAACTTGATAAAAAAATAATTTTTTCCTTATAACCAAAAATATTTTAAGATAATTAAATAAATATTATGAAACTGATCATAATTATTGTTTAGACAAGATTTGTTAACTTTCTTTTTTTTTTATTGTGTGCATCATCCTGATTTAGTTTGGAACTTAAGTTGTTGTCCTCTCATATCTCTACCTCAGCGATTAGGATAAAATCTCTACAATTCATCTGTTTGGAAGATCATTTTCTTTTTATAACTTATTCATTATACCTAAAAATATTTTAAGATAGATATAGATTATACGAAACTATCATTGCTATTTACACATATACATGTTTGTTAGAATCTTATAGGTATTATTATATATCAAATATTTGATTAAAATTTTGAAATAAAATATTTTTGACTAACTTATAAATTCCTAACCATAACTTTACTATACATAATTAAATTATTTTATATTGACTACTGATTATTGTTTATTGTTGAATTAAATTATTGATCTATAAAAAGTGCTATTTACAAACTATCTGAGAAAGAAGCTTATGCTAAGCAAGCTAGCCAGCTTGTGATCGTGCGTGTACTTGAGAGAGAATTTTTTTTTCATAACCTTATCGACTTTCTCTTCTTTTGATCTATTGTTGTCCAAACTTGTTGATGTCTCCTTTTGATTTATTGTTGTCCAAACTTGTTGATGTCTCCTAGCATTCCTCTCTCTCCAGACATGATAGATTATAGTTGAAAACAACATTTCGGCCAAAACAGTATCTAAACTATGAGTCCAAGTGCCTCTCAAGTGCTGAATAGTCCACTGTTAATCCGGATTGATGCCTACATTTAGATGTAAATTATTTATTTTGTTAATTAGATATCTATATATGTTGCATACATGTAGTAGATGTAGATGAGGAAGACGTTTGGTATTGGATTATATTTATTCAAAGTAAATTCTTATTTGAAAAGATGAGAAATATAAATTTATTATATTTTATTTTGTTAGGATTTTTGATGGAAATGCTAAGCGATTATCGAAGGGGAAGCGGAGTCTCATCCGGGTTCACAACATCTGCAGCCTAGTAACCAATGTTTTATTGAAAGTGTATTAGAACATGAAATGAGAAAACCAATGGAAGATGATGTGATATAGAATAGCTACGTACAAATCGATCTTCAGCAGTCTCATTTCCCTACCAAACCAAAAAATAGACCTTCAGCAATAGTCATCTCCACACGATATGTAGAACATAATATATATATAAACTGATGACTATACACTTGACTAAGTTCCTTGCGATCTAATTAGAGCAATACAGTAGAAGAACTCTCTAGTGCCTTTTTTTAGCTAACCATATTTAAACTTGAGAACCAAACAACCTAGAATCTGTCTGAAGCAGACTACAAATCATGGATGGAAACCTCTCACCCTGTTTCAAGTAAAGGGTGGTAGCATTCATCGTATGTGTGGTCGTTTCAACAACAGTTTCTACATAATCAGAATCAGTCGAGACTCAGCGTCTTGCCCTGCCTTGTCCTCTGTGTTTTTCTTGTATTTTGGCGTCCTGAACAACAGCAGAAAGTAGAGCTGCCCAATCTGCAGCCTGAAAACTATGTAAGCATACAGAACATCACAATCTTTAATTTCAGGCATGTGAGACACATCTTAATTGAAGCAGCGCACTTGTCCTATATGGCAATATCAATTGCTCGAGGATACCAACACACAGCATATTTAACCAGTCAGCAATGTTAAATACAAATGGAAGGAGGAGTAGAGTACTCTCAAGTCACAGGACACAAAAGATATATAGTTTGAGTCCCAGAATGGCCAAATCAGTCTCTACAGAAGTTGATAATAAAACCGATATAGAAGCCGTGATCTCACACCAAGTCAACAGAATTTATAAAAAATAAATCGTGGATGCTTCTAGAGATTAACACACTAATCTTAAGATTTCACAAAAATTAATCAAACAATCTCGTTCACCGAAATATATAGAAACAAAGATGCAAATGTCCGATGGTAGGAGATGCTTGATGTCCGCTGTGATTTTCTTACAAACATAAAAATTAAAACACTGCAAGAAATACTAAGATAGTATGTGTATGTTCGCCGTGATTACCTTTGCATGCCGACACACATTAGCTCGCCGCCTTCCTCCCAAAATCTCCGAACTCGAACTTTCTGTGATACAACTTCCGGGGCGAGAAACACTTACGGAGGCGAATAAGAAAAGAGTTTGCAATCGTAATCTCTGTAAAGTGTAAGAAATA